GGCAACAGAACGGACGGTTTCCCTTAGCTTCTGTGAGAAGAGCTCGTCGACCACTTCACGTCGCAGCGATTTTTCATTTTCGCCTTCCTGTTCACTAATTCCATGAATAATGATGTTGCAACGCCGACTGCGATCCTCAAGATCCGCCAGCTTAGTGTTTTGTTGTTGAATTACTTCATTTAAGCTTTGAACTTCAGTCTGAAGTGATTCAATTTCTGAAGTTTGTTCACGAATTTCTATTAACCGTTCATTAAATTCTACCCATTTTGCATTTAGGGATGACACGTTTTTTTCTGTTGTTAAAAGACGTTCTCGAATGTCGACTAGTTCAGACAAGATTGTGGCCTGGCCAGATTGAAGTGACGCGAACATTTCATCGACAGACGGACCGGGGTTAAGTTCAATGTCACCACAAACAAGCAGTTCACAGACACGAATGCAGTCGTACGCTATTAACAAGCATGTCCGTGGGCACGGCACAGCTAACAAAATCAGGTCATCACTTTTAAATGATGAGTAACTAACCTGTGTTGCAAACAGGAAACGGTTCATGAGTGACATGATGCCTCCGGTCTCGCCATGCCCACTGGTGAAGAAACGTTGGGGCAAGTCTTTTAAAGCCGGGTTGAGTGACGTCGTGCCATGCATCTGCTCACGTGATGACACCACTTGCGTAGTGAAGCCAAGAATCGGCTGCCAGTCAGACGATGACGAAATACAGGGCCAGAGGACGGGATCAGATTTGGCATCATCCATGTAGTAGCTTCGACACTTGCTTGCCGGGCATGATCCAACGGTGGCGGCCGCAGCCAGCAAAACCTGTGTTGCAAACAGGAAACGGTTCATGAGTGACATGATGCCTCCGGTCTCGCCGTGCCCACTGGTGAAGAAACGTTGGGGCAAGTCTTTTAAAGCCGGGTTGAGTGACGTCGTGCCATGCATCTGCTCACGTGATGACACCACTTGCGCAGTGAAGCCAAGAATCGGCTGCCAGTCAGACGATGACGAAATACAAGGCCAGAGGACGGGATCAGATTTGGCATCATCCATGTAGTAGCTTCGACACTTGCTTGCCGGGCATAATCCAACGGCGGCGGCCGCAGCCAGCAAAACCTGTGTTGCAAACAGGAAACGGTTCATGAGTGACATGATGCCTCCGGTCTCGCCGTGCCCACTTGGGCTACAGCGAAAGCTACATCTGCAAGGCAGACCGCAAAGAGGAAATGCCGCCGTATATGCGAGAATCATTCAGCATCGCCCAAGTACCGCGTAACATGCATTCCGAGTACCGTCGGGAAAGACGAATCGCTCTAGTCGACACCATTCGCAGAAGACACCAGCGCGATCCAGACACTCGATGCGTTGACGTGGCAAATTACCCTGACAAAAATGCCTACGCTTTAAGTGTGGTCGACGCAGAAGGACAAGAGCTGGCATCCGTCACCCTCCGGGTGCGGAGCTCTGAGTCTGCCCAGGAAGCAGCGATCGCCCTTGCCACTACGACTGGTAAGGACGTGGTCGTAGTTTTCACAGATTCCCAATCCGCTGTCCACAATTACACGCGAGGCTGAATCTCCGCCGAAGCTCTCAAAATTCTGAGAAAGAGCCGAACTCCACTTGCTTACACCTGCGCGGTATGGGTGCCGGGGCACGAGGGGCTCGAAGGCAATGAAGCGGTTCACGCCGTGGCCCACGGTCACGTCCACCGGGCCTTCCTCAGCGCCTCGCTTCACCCGCGGTTAGCCAGCGCTGCAGAAGAAATTGAGACCGTACCACCAACATACAACGCCATCCTACAACACTATCGTCTAGCCCGCAGGGTGTACCCGCCACCTCACCCCAAGCTGACTAAAGAAAAGGCAACAGCATTTCGGAGACTTCAAGCTAACACCTATACACACGGCACCCTACTGCATAGAATCTACCCAGCGCTATACGCCTACAACTGCCCGATATGTGACGTGCCAGACACACCGGCCCACCTACTACTCGAGTGTCCGTGGCGCCACGAAGATTCTAATACCAAGTCCGCAACGACTTCACGTATCGACCCCCTAGCCGATGTTGTGGGAGGCCAAGATTGCCGCACGTGACCTAGACGACAAACGAGAACTTATCGCCAGGGCCGGGAGGCGATTGCGGCCAGAGGATTGCTGGAATAAGGGACCCTCCCACCTAGGGTGACTCTGAGCTCACAAACTCGGGAACACTGATTAAAATAATAAACTGTTTATTTTATTATGGCGCCTCAAGTCTGTTCCAGTTGCTCCTGCCAGTCGTAAATTACTGTAAAGATCTCTTCATTCGACCACAAAGTTCGCGTTCGTTGCGACCTAGTCGAAAGGCTTGCGACAATCACAGTCAGTTTGCTTCTAGGTGCTTTAACAGATCCGATGGAGCGAGAGTTGAACTAAGCTCTGAAGGCAACGGTCGGCTGCTTGTCGTCTGCTTGCCGTCTGCTTCTCCCGTTACTACACGCAGCCGATGCGAACCGTAAAATATGCAATAATTCAGATATTGTTTCGTTTTACACAGTTCAGAATTTGCATTTTTATAAATATCTAGCTCTTTCAAAGCGTTTTTAACGAACTATACTAGATTCTCTTGTTTATTGTACTTTCAAGCAGCTCAGTTAGGGGGTGCAGGCAGCAGCAAAATCACGATCGCTCAGGCAGATCGCGATGCGCTGATTGCGATAGTCTTGATCCCGATCATGCCTGATTGGGATGAAAAGTGACCGTGTAGCAGCACCTAATCTGGATCAGTGGTTATTTTGGATCGACACTGATCGCGATTAAATGTGCCCGTGTGACACCGGTATTAAGCGCTCTGGCCAGCTGTTCTGTATTAAAACCCAGATGCGGGAGACTTCAAGTGTCGTAGCTATAAAGTATTCGATATTGACAAAATTTTGGGATTACTTCAAAGAACGCGACTTATAATACCGTTTCTGAAGAAACATAAACAGAAGGATAATGTTCATAGATGATATTGTCACGCGTATTACTTTGATGTCGTCTGATTTCAACCATAAGTACCGTTTGTAAAGCTGAGCGCAGACAGGCCGCAATGGGGAGTTGCAGAAAAACGTTAGCAGGCATTGCGGGCACCATGCGAATTTTAGAATAACGTTTGCCCCCGTCAGGCAAAACTAGGAATTTTACCCTTCCTCCCCCCGCAAACCCGAATGCATGAAAGCTACACCATAGCCTCGACACCAGCACTTCGAGGGATTTGTGGACCGCACGCACAACACGCTATTATAGACTTTCTGTGGGCGGACCACTAGCGCGAACAGCGGCTCACGTTACGACGCATGCGCAGTGGCAGCTACTGCATTGCAAGTGCTTGCGGATATCTTAAAGCTTACACGACCACCGCTGATAACGTGAAATTTTCACTCACACACGTAAGAAAGACGGCACGGTGCGGTTAACGCTTGTCAGCTTCAGCGACAGCTAACTCTCTGTTCGCTGATATTAGTTCATTAGTTTGTATTGTAGTTCTCTTGTCAGCTTCAGCGACAGCTAACTCTCTGTTCGCTGATATTAGTTCATTAGTTTGTATTGTAGTTCTGAGTTTTCAGAACAGGGCTTTGCCCAGAGAAGGAGCTTTGCCCTGACCACGCAGATTGCCGACTTCGTCAAGGTTGCCACTACGCACCAAGCGAAAAGGGTGCGACTGTGTCGCAAATGTTATTGAACAAGAAGTAACAAAAAGACGCTAAAGATTTGTGCAAATGTCTTATGTACAGACATGTGTTATGAAGTCGCATATGTTTCATAAAACCAGTTCTTTACTCTTGCGTGAAGACGCCGGACACCAAACGTCTAGGCAACACCAAAAGCAGTAAGCTGAAACGTAGCGCTTGTTCTCGCGAGGATGGCAGCGTCTGAGAGTGCTGCACAAATCGACTTCCATAAATGGCGCTTACTTATCATTTATGTTTGCGCAACAAGATCATAGGAGTGCACGTAATGCTTATAAAGAAAGATAGCCAGAATTGCATCCACAACGGACGTTTCTTAAACATTCGGGTCTTTTTCAAACGTAGCTCTGAGACCTGGCATGGCTCTGTGGCCTGTATGCGAGGTCTAGGAGTTACGTCACACAGAGTTCTTGGGTTCAATTCATGCTGGAACTTTGACATTTTATTTCCATGTGACGGATCAACGCCGATGTCAGTTTCTTTTCTGAAAAATTAGCATGGTCGGTTCTCTCTAATAATTCAAAACTCTATTGAAGCGCACTAAAGAACAGACGGACAGAAGAGGCTGTCAACCACCTGTGGCATATCGTGGCTCGTGGTATACGGGTTCGACGACGTACGAAACCGGTTCCTGGCGTTATTCATGTCATGACTATCGAGTCGTGTTTGTCTATCTTACTATCGCTAATTTACGTCCACGCGAAGTTGAGGGGGCGATCACGAGAGTACTCAGACGCAGGAGTCATAGATAGTGGATAACAGACAGACAGACAGACAGACAGACAGACAGACAGACAGACAGACAGACAGACAGACAGACAGACAGAGACAGGCAGGCAGGCAGGCAGTCAGTCAGTCACTCAGACAGACAGACAGACAGACAGACAGACAGACAGACAGACAGACAGACAGACAGACAGACAGACAGACAGACAGACAGATAGATAGATAGATAGATAGATAGATAGATAGATAGATAGATAGATAGATAGATAGATAGATAGATAGATAGATAGATAGATAGATAGATAGATAGATAGATAGATAGATAGATAGATAGATAGATAGATAGATAGATAGATAGATAGATAGATAGATAGATAGATAGATAGATAGATGCAGCCAGACAGACAGACAGACATATGACCATTATGAAAAAACTAGTTTGTAATTCAAGCGAATACAGCATCAAAAAGTACGGCAAAATATTTAACGCAATATTCGGTCAATAATGCCTGTGTGGGTGACCAAAAGTAAGTATTCGCCGCTGAATGCGGGTGCCATAAAAGAGTCAAGTAGTTGACTGCTCAGCTCCTTCTTCGGTGAAGAGCTTGTGGTAGACGCCCTCTCGGCGCATCAACTCCGCGTGCGAGCCCTTCTCGACCACTTTGCCACGCTGCATAACGAAGATGCGGTCGACGTCCTTGATAGCGGACAACTTCGACGTTACGATGACGCACGTGCGGCCTTTACTCGCTTCCGTAATGGCGTTTTGCACCACCTGTGAACGTAAGCAACAAAAAGACCAAGGCCTATTTCGTTCGACAAACCGACAAGTTTCATGAGTTACATTTTAGCTCTTTAAGTCACATAGATATGACGATGCTAGGCTTTATTCGAAACGGAGAGTTGAGTGACATCCGAGTGAATTCTCAGCGAAAAAGTAGCGACGTTTGGCAGTTATTGTGTTCCTGGCGCCCTTTTGAGAAAGCGCGTTTGTTATACGTTCCTAACCATTTCATGGACTTCTAGGAAAAGCATTTAATATCTATCGCGGTGGTCTGAGCTCAAGCCCACGCCCTGTCGCGTTACAGCTGACTATAACCTCTATTCGACCAAGAAAGCGGGCTTACGCGCTCATTATCAACGTCCAGGCCCTTAAAGGCATCGTCGATCAACAGGATGCGTGGGTCTCGCACCAAAGCCCTGGCAAGGGCCACGCGCTTGGCCTGGCTCTCGGTGAGCAGATCCGGCGCTCCCGAAGACGGAAGGACCGTGTCGTAGCCGTGAGGCAGCTGCGTGATGAAGTCGTGTGCGTTGGCCCGCCGTGCAGCTGACACGACCTCCTCACGAGACACATCGCGGCTGTTATCGCCGTACGCGATGTTCTCAAACAGGTTGTAGCTACGCAGCAGCGTCTCTGAGCTCACGTAGCCCAGCTGCTCACGCATCCACGACAACCGCATCATCTTGGTCGAGATGTGGTCAATCAGCTGCAAAACGCAGATATTGTAAGATTTATGCTTTAACATGCAAAGTGCAACTGGACCTTGGTGGCTGAAAAGCTTAACAGTACGCAACAGCGTGGATAAACCGTGTCATATTAAAGGAGTCGTGAAACGGTCGCTTTACAACGACAATGCGATGTCATCAGCAGCCAAATGCGCTCACTATATCATCAGCCCGAGTGCATCTGCATAGACGCTTTGCCTATCGAAGAACGCGGAACTATATATATGGCTTATCGAGCGCGTGGAAGAGGTGCTCATCGGCGTCTGCCACACGTGATCCGCGTCCCACAAGAACGCTGCGTAATATGACGTCAGAGTTTAAGGTATTGCCGATTTTGTATGGCGAAGACGCTGATGGGTGTGCCGGTTTCACGCACTTGCAAGTACTCTAGAGTTCCGCGTTGCCTCGATAGGCAAAGCATTACTAATGATTACGTCACCTAGTTAGTCCGTGTGGACGCCGCTGGCTTCTCATTGTCGCTTTAGAACGAGCGTTTCACGACCCCTTTAAATGAGAACACATAAACGTAGCTAAAGAAAAGTGATGGCAGGTACCACACACTGCCAAAAGAAGTGTAATGTGAAGTATTCAGACAGAAATTGCATGCACAGCATTTCTTACCTTTTAGACAAATCCAGCCATTCATGTCATGACACTCCGTACACATAGATTATTAAATACGACATGTTTTCTCGCTATACTTCAACACCCAGCATGATGGTGTAGTGGCTAAGGCACTCGGCGGCTCTCCCGCAAATCGCGGGACCCGGTGGCCGCATTTTCGGAAGAGGTGTAAACGCTTTAGGTTCATATGCTTAGATGTAGGTGTACGACTTTGGGTGGTTGAAACTTCTGGAGCCCTAGACTATGGCATCTTTCATAATCATATGGTGGTTTGGCGTGTTAAACTCCTACAATAAAAACTTTGGTATGTTTCAATGCATAAACTTCGGGCTCTCTGTGTGTCACTCTATTGAGCCACCCGTCCAAAGTTGAAGCAGTTACTGAACGCCCAGTAACCTTGAACCAATGTCTGCGTTTATGCTCGTGAACATTATCGATCAAAAAGTATATATGTGCAACATTAATGCGTAAGTATTATTTGGTGCGGTCTTTTACAAGAAAATACAAAGATACGGAACTCTGAAGACTGAAGTGTTTCTCCGGCTGTGCTAAACATACGACGCTATGCATGGAAAAGCGCTTTGTGGACGACATGGTGCTGCCACGTGGCAGTGGTCTGGGTTCTTCACAAACTCATGTTATGTGAGGACACTGCCAGTTGGCATTCATATCTTTACCGAAAGACACTAAGCCTGAAGTAGTGCAGCCGGTATAAGGCTATGGTCTTTCAATAACATTTGCATTGAGGCACGCAGATACGCGCCCACTTTTGGTCATGCTGACATGCACACTCTGGTATACGCTCTAAATAACCTGTCCCCCGTGGTGGATCCCGGGCTACAGTACTTGGCTGCTGACCTAGACCTTGCGGGTTTTATCCACGCTGCAGGGGTCTTTATTCGATGCAGGCGAAATGGTAGAGGCCCCTGCACTGTGGGATGTCAGTATACGTTCAAAAATGACTGAAGGTTAGAATTTCTGGAGCCCTCCACTATGGCGCCCCTCAGATTCATATCTTGGTTTGGGACATAAAGCCTTAGGTAATAAAACAACCATCGCCATTTCGGGAAGTTTCTATCAAGTTCTTTGTGCACCTAATGTCTTACAGATGACAAGCATGTCATGGACATTGTCGGGGTCACCTGTCGTTTGTCTCTCACGCACTAGTGTTATTTTATCAAGTTTTGTTGTTCGAAAGAAAACGAAAAGTCTACGATGACAATACAATTACGCCTTTTCGTTTAAAAATTGCTTTGCCGTATTGGACGTAGAGTCAAATACAAAAGTTTATACACCACGCAAATGCGCGCCAAACTGCCTGTCCGCACCACCAGGTGGCGCGCCATTTACTATCGACCGTCGGAAGTGGTGGTAGAGGTCGGAAGTGGTGGTAGAGGTCGGACGTGTTTTTGGAGAGCTCCGGAACGACAGCTACAGATAAGTGTTTTTGCATGTTTCCAGCTTGCCTCTGTATGTAGCGTTATGAGAACGTAAGGCGCTAGCGTAAAGCTTGATTAGGTCTAGTACGTGTACGGTGTACGTTTTTTTTTAGTATTTTGTACTGTGTCTTTTTTTTCTCCAGCCACCACGTGGCTGAGGCCTGCGCGTAGACCGACCACGTGCATGCGCAGGTGCTGTGAAGTGTAGCGTATTTATTTATTATTGTGGTTCTTTTTGGCTTAGACCAGTGTATTTTAGTACAGTTTTCTAACACGTGGGCATCGGTAAACTGAGCTAGCCATGGTCAAAAAGACCGTAAAGTGTTCAGAGTGCGGGGTAGGGTGGAAGGTGGAAATTAGTGCGGAAAAGAAAGCAGAAGATGACGCCAAGTGTAGACAGTGCGAGTTCGAGGAGAAAATGAAAAATATGATGGCGGTCCAGAATGGGCTCATGGAGAAAATCGCAGAGCTGGAGAATGCATTGGCGAAGGAGCGAGAGAAAACGTCAGCCATGGAGGAAAGGCGCCGGGCAGCCGAGAAGGGCCTATCGAAGGTCTTGAAAGGGAACGAAGACGCAGGTGACGGCGGAAGCATTATGGCGACGACCCCCCCGTGCGGGAGAGATGAGGGAAACAGGCATGACAAAGGCAGATACATTGGCCACAGGGCCCAGCTACCGGGAAGTAGTTTTGAGGGAGGGAGGGTGCAAACCAGCAGCCGTGACTCACGCTAGTCACCTAGTCAGCAGCCAGGTGCAGGTTTCAGAAGGAATGTCTGAACAGGTCATCATCGCCGGTGACTCAAATTTAGTCCGATGCGCAGCGGCAATCAAAGAAAGGGTGAAAGGCGACAAGAGAGTTGCGATAGGGACGTTCCCAGGACAAACGCTGGGGACAGTAATGAGTCAAGCGGGTGAACAACTCGCAGCTAAAGCTAACAATCGTAACCTCGTTGTAATTGCGGGAGGGCTAAATGACGTCCTGAAAAAAGAATCGTCAGGACTAGCAACGACCTTGGCGAAAGGGGTGGATGACATGCGCACCGTGTCCCCCCAGGTGCAAATTGTAGTATGCACAGTACCGGAAGTACCAGTACGCAACGTCAACCTGCAAAGAGCGGTTGTCGACGCAAACAAAGAGATATGGCGAATTAGTCGAGAGAAGGGTTTCGAGGTAGTGGATTTAAACAGGGACGTGCACAGGTGGGGTGGATTCCAAAGAGACAAGATTCATTTCGATAAGAGGCTTGGACACGAGGTGGGCTGGCGACTGGCAGGACGCGCAGTAGCTTTTTTGGGGGGCTCACGGGCCCTTCGGAGTCCGGGGTAGCTCGTAACAGGGAAAACAACCAGGAGGACGCTTTGACAGGTAGAATTGCGAAAAACCAAAAAAAAGGTAACAGAAAAAGGAAAAAGGCGCGTGTTGCAATTAGTTACATAAACATGCAGGGTGGCAGAAAGAAGGCAAAATGGTTAGAGATTGAGGAGCAGTTAAACAAAGAACAGATAGGCGTGTATGCGGTTACAGAAACACACCTTAGAGACTTGGAAGAGCCACCACATATTAAAAATTATGTTTGGGAAGGGTGTAACAGGACCATATCGGAAAGGAAAGGTGGGGGTGTAGGAATGCTAATTCACCGCGGAGCCAAATGGGTTAGAGTGAAACAGACGTGTTCAGAGCACCTCTGGGTTCTGGGCACAGTAGGTGGAAAGGAAACGTGGCTAGGGGTAGCCTACTTGTGGACGGGGAATAACTGCAGAGAAAAGAATCAGGAGATAGTGGATTGCATGAGTGCGGATATTAAGGAATTTGGTAATGGGGCCGAAATCATCCTTCTAGGGGACATGAATGCCCACATACATGACCTTGACGGATATTCAGACACCAATGGGAAGTTATTACTAGATCTTTGCGAGCAACATAGTCTGGAGATAGTTAACACGGGGCCTAAATGTTACGGCCAGATCACATGGGAAGTCGGAAACAAGCAATCAAGTATTGATTATTGTCTCATGACTGAAGGAATTTACCACAAACTGACAGAAATGAGGATAGACGAGGAAGGCATTAACAGCTTGGGTAGTGATCATAAACGAATAACATTACAAATGGGATACGAAACTGAAAATATGAGCATGGAATCAAAGTCTGGCAGCTCGTATTTAAATGACAAACAAATAATAAATATAGCCGCAAGAGTCGAGGAAAAAGTAGGCGAAATACCAGGCAAGGACTGGGAGTATAGTGAGCTGTTACATCTAATGACGAAGGAGATAGGGAAAGAGAAGAAAACTGTTTGCTGGAAAGGAAAAGGAAGCCAAAAAGTTGGTGGAACAAGGAAATCCGGGAGGCGATCGAGAAGCGACGCGAAGCATCACGGGAGCATAGAAAGGCAAAAAAGGAGAAGCGGCCGCAGGACGAAGTCAAAAAAATATGGGAAATATATTTAGAGAAAAAATCCCTTGTACAGAAATTGGTAGAGACAAAAATTAAAGGTGAAAGTGAACGCTGGATGACAGAGATACACGAAAAAAAGGAGGCCGCGCCTAGGATTTTTTGGAGCCACATAAAGGCGCTAGGTAGGAAGTCTGTCACAACGCAACAACATATTCTAGATGAAGGAGGAAATCAATTGGAAGGGTACGAAGCGCTAGGTTACATTTAAAAGGTAACAGCCGATTCGTTTCAAAAGAGCGTCCAGGGGATCTCCCCGGTGAGTAAAAGTGTGGCGGAGAAAGCAACAGAGGAAGAGCTAGTACTTGATTATTTCAACTGGAAAAAGGCCAAAGGAAAAATTCCAAAGCGCACTGCCGCGGGTTTAGATGGGATTCCCGTTAGCCTCATTAACGAACTAGGACATAACACTAAAGAAGCATTGTTAAAAGCAGTAGAAAAAAGCTTAAAGGACGGACAAAT